ACCAAAAAATATGTCCATTCTAATGTCAATGAATGAAAGCGTTTCACTTCCTAAATAATTTGTTAATCTCATTAAAACACCTCACTGTCTGGTACTTGGCGAAAAATTACATCCGATAGATAAAGGTTTATTTTAATTTACATTGTACCATTTACATATTACCTTCAAAGAGGAAAACGCTTAAATTAGTATTTAAACCACAAAACGATTGTTAAGTAGAATGTAATTTGAATATTGAAAAATACCTTGGTTATCTTAGTTACACTCTTGACAATTAAGTATATTCAAAACGTTGGTGAATGCTTAAAAAAAGTTATAAAAGTAAAACTATAACTTCATATCCATATATGTGAAGATTTCTTCATATCCAGATTTGATATATTTTACAGATTATGACTATGCAGATGTGTTTGCCATTTCTGCGCAGATCGATGACTGAAACGGTAGAAATCACAAGATCATGATGTGTGGTTGCAACAGCATATTGTCTGAGAAATACGTACATATATATTTCCATAAATTGACAACATTACATATGGACCCATCTGTGTTTAAAACTCATATGAAATTTAGATTTCAAGTAAAACTGATTTAATTGCCATTCTAAATAGAAAGTAAAACTTGAATATTATTGTAACCAAAAAGAATAAGTGTGTTTACTTGCAGTTGATCGATTCACTTCTAATTTTCAAATCACTTGAATTAACATGATGCCAGTCTTGCTTCATGGAAATCGGGTAAAATAAGGTAAAATCACATGAACCATATTGATTTCATTACGTAGTTTATTAATGTTACCAATTTAATTCTGTAGTCAAATGTCTTTATCAGCATTAAAATTGATTTTTGTTTTAATAAATGAAAACATTACTTAATATGTATTGCTATACGGTTATGAATACTTACCTTGTGGCTCTACATCCTGTCGATACTTATATTATGGCATTGCATAACGTCATGCTTTTTTGGACTGATCAACCGCAGTCAATTCAGTAACAATTTAGTATGATATTCATGCGTACAGGTAAATAACAACTAATGAACAATCAGGACATAGATTGAACAGATTTTTAAATTGACTGCAAGCGAATTGTCTGAAGACTGAAAATGACTTATTATGTATCGTGCAGTCTTTTAAGAGATATTCAGATACACATGACCGTTTCAAATCAAAATTGGTTTACTAATGGTACTGATTGGAATTTTAGTCTGTGAAAACACGATTTAATTTTTAGTTGTAACTGGCTTTGAACTACTTTTCAATAACTGAGTACTCAAAGATCTTTGTGTCTTTTGTTATTTTGTTTCAAAGACTCACATCTTAGGATTTTAATTATAAATTATTAATGTATTAGTGTGCTTGTACTGTAATTACAATTGTCATTATATTAATGAAAATGTTATACTTCGTCCATATATTCTATACTGTTATATTGTATTATTATTTTTTTCCTTTCATTTGCTTGATTATGGTTATTTATATCGCTTGTTTAATCATCTGCAACTATAGATGTAAATGTCTGTCAATCCATGAAGAAGGAAAAATAAATGATGAAAGAAAAAATTCTACATCTGATTGATACCCATAGTTGAGAATAACACATCACAATATTTTAAAAGCAACCTTTCCAAGAAGAAAGAATTATACTTAAAATCTTCGAGTATGATTTTTTTTTGTATATACGATAAAAAGATGGGTGATTTTCGTCGTCTTTTTTGTGTTGATATAAAAAGTCGAGAAGGAAAGACTTTTCTGAAAACTTTCTTCGTTGTGATGTAAGTAGTTATATTCCCTGATTCGCTGTGAATTCAAGATATTTCGTTAGACAATCAAAATTACTATTGTTTGCATATGAAAACAGCATTATTTTATTTTTTATTTTTTATTTTGCTGGAACATCATTATATTTATCGGGTAGAGAGAATGAAGAATCGGCGAACTGAGGTTTCATAAAACGGTTTTTGGAAGCGCTACTCAATGCATGATCACAATCAAATAGCTTTAATCAGTATTCATTCAGATAAAGTTTCCAGTTTCGGTTTGTTTAACAACGTTACCCTCATTTTCATATAACTCATCGACAGTCATCAGTATTCGAAGGTCCTTTTCCTGGTGATGGGCTTTTGAATTCAACCTTTTACACATTTGGCTTACATCCCTCTGACTTGTTCAATTTTGACAATGCCAAAATTTTAGGTTATATACGCCCAGCTGAACTATATTTGTATGATATGTGAACGATAAACAAGAGCAAACGAGAGGATTGAATTTTACATCCTTGAGCGTAAAGGTCTCTAATGGATTTTGTGTTTTGTGATTGAAAATCTTGAATAAATGGGTATGCTATTGGTATATGAAAAAGAAGGTTTTTATTCAGTAATCGGATATATTTTTCTGCGTAGATTTGAATTGGAACACATTTCCTATATTGATTTTCCTAACCCCCATAAACGATTTTTCTGCCTAAAAACACTACGTTTTCATCATCATTAGTAGTCGTCACGGGTCGGCATCACCTGTGATTATCAATATCAATCATTATTGCAATTAGTCTGTATTTATAAGAATAATTGTCCTCAACGAGAGTGTTTTTGGCCTCTTGAATGCTATTGAATCCAAAGTCGTTGGCTTTCTAACAGAGCAAAGCAACGAAACAGTTTTTTTTAACAATTTCGGATGCAAATTTCAATTATTTTTTATAAGCAAAGGATTTTAGAAAAATACTCCTTTTTGTTTTTCTCATGATATTGAAAGAGAAACTAATGGAAATACACTAGATCTGCGTACTTCGTCCTCTTTCACAGGTAACACTGGTCCTACAAACCGCGATGAAGTACGTCCATTATAATTATTCAACTACAAGCTACCAACTATGTGTAAGTATCCTAAATTACCGTGCAAATTTAGTTTTATATCGAGTTATATTCGCTTGAAAATAGTTCTGGTTTTGCTGACTATGGCTGTCTAGGGCTATTAAAACTGGTACTTAACTCGTTATCAAATCATCTATTTAAAGGCAAAGTATATGTAAATAACGGGTAATCCGGATTTAAAACCTCGTTGAATTGCATTTGAATATAGAAAAAATATAAATGTAGCATTAACAAACCCTGTTGTCGGCTATAGGTACTACATATGTATAGGTAATACAAATAAAAATCGACTGTTCACGATGGTAAAATCCATTGTACTGCAATGTCCATCGGGAACATAGATCATATTGTATCGACAGTAGCTATATCCGGTAATGGGATGTGATTAATACTTTCAGAGATACAATCTAAATCACTTCAATTTTAGTAATACATGAAAAACTACGATTTTGCAGCGTGACGCCGTCACGATTATTTTGTCCTTTTCATGTTTTTTTCACACTACTTTCGAGACTACCCGGGAATTCATTTCTACTGGGAGAAAAAAATAATCCGATAACGCCCCTATATATAATAGTTTCCTATCAATTAAAACGAAAATATTTTAAGTACTAACATATGATTTTTAAACAAAATAATGTGGACGGCATTTCGGGAAATCGTTATTTAAAGTAAAAAAAAAATCATCTCTCCGCCGCATTTTTCGTACATTCTTTACATTAATAGATCTATTTCACACATTTTTCATTGATTGTATCTCTGGAGGTAAATATCCTTTTTTCGTTATTCAGATGCAGTTTAAACTGCATACATAATTTCGTTAAAAATCGAAATTCGCCTAACTAACAATACTTTGCCTTAAGCAAGCAAATTAGATTCGACCCCTCCGGGAAGGGAAATCACAGTAATTTAACAGTAATTTTCCGATTTATTGATATGATCTGTCGATATACCTGCGTGTATCTATACCTGCTATTGTGGTTACAGCTTCTATTGTAATCACTCAGTTACTGAAAACTTGTTCAAAGCCAATTACACCTAATATTGTTTTAATCATAAGATCTGTCTAGATGATTCATGGATTAAGTAATTACAAGGATAACACATAATTTGAGTCAAGAGAGAGTTTTCGAATCAAATCTTACACTTAGTTTAAAAACTCAAGAAAAAAGATAAATCAATATTATCTTCATAAACCGATGCAAAATTTTTTTGATAATTTTTAAATGTACATGTATAAAGGTATAGTTACTATTTGGGACTGTTACTGCTTACCTTTACGAAGCACGTGAGTTCATCTTAAACTCGTGTTGCAAACTCTTTAGTGTTATGTGTGGTGATTGATAGTTTCTTTTGTCTTTTGTCATCTTCTCTTTTGGCCATGGTATTATATATTTGTTTGTTATTTTTTACTTTAATTTGTTTTTCGACTGCTCCCTTGATATTTTCAAACTGGTTTTTTTACAGTTCTTTGTTGAGAAATGAATGTGCGAATTTGTAGGGAAATGACTTGTTATTTGGTTGATTAATTTTGCCTGCCTATACGCTCTTTATACTATGTATATAGAGTTTATCTAAGAATACAAAAGCGTACCGATTAAGCAAACGCAATCGCCTGTCCAGATGTAAGAATCTAAAATATACCTTGAAGACATTGTAGTAACTGATAGAATGAAGATTATCAATCTCTGACCTTACCAGTACGACTTGTACACAATTAAATAGATTTATAATACGCGATCTTCTCCGCTTTCAATGCAGTATGTACATTTAATATAACATTGGTTAAGCAGCAAGTAGCAATCAAGCAATCAAGCAATTAGTTAGAAAATGAGTCGAATGAAGGTGTGACTTGGAAGCATTACAACATTTTCATGAACATGTTCTATCATTGTTTGCATCAGCCACATTATCTTTTATGCTGTTTAGCAAATATTTTATTTGTATTTGAGATTTTATAAGCAAATTGCATTTCCTCATTTTCGATTTCTCTGCAAAGTATACTGGGGAATAGAAAATTTAAAATAGCCAAATTAAGCTTTGTGTTTAAGAATATTGATTATATTCTGTTGTAAAACAAGTGTTCGTTTCCTTTTTAAAAGTAGATGTTTTCCTGTTTTCTTCCTTCTGTGACGTAAATGATATCTTTTTCCGTCAAACTCATTTCTTAACATGAAATTAGACTGCAATGCTAAATATTTCAAGAAATTTGAAATTATCAATAGCCTTAATTGTAACCGGGTGTGTAATTCATTTCATTGGATTTGTATCACCTTACTGGAATATAATACCAGATACAGAAGCACTTGAAAGTACGGAAAGCGCCATAAGACTTGGTCTGTGGACAGTATGTATTCGACAAGGAAAGAAAGTCAATTGTGTACAGTACAATCATAGTAAGTAAGATTACTATATTAAATATCACTTAAAAATATCCTCATAAGGATAATGAAATATTTAGCGACAACGAATAAAAGTAAATGTGTGGTATACTTGAATGAGACAGCAATCTAACGACACAAACACCAAAAGACATCTAGATATCATTATGCTACTATCGTTCCTGATTTACCGCTATTTTGAGTACGGTAAAGCTCTATCCACCTGATTTACCGCTACGATTGATTACAGGAAAGTCCTATGATCCATCTTTTAGTTTGGACAACAAAAGGAATTTAACTGCATTTTTGGTCTCATCGTGGTTTAGTTATTTTAAGAAGTCCTCTCATGAACACCCCTTTTTCTTAGGACTCTTTTTACAAACCGCTGCCCATTTTTTATAAATATTCCACGAATCAGAAATTGAATGGTGAATAACGGCAAAATCAATACCACCATTTCTATGATACGATAACTCAACGTTTTCAAGATTGAGTATATTTTTGTTTTTCTTTGTTGAAAAAGTTGTTTTTATAGTGGTTAAGATTATAACACAATGTTGACTGCTGTACCCCAATTTTTGACATTTTTGCCTATTATGTCTGTTTGTTTTGCTCACACATTGTTGTCAATATAATGAAATTCCAGGCGACTGTCATACAAGTGAGAGGTTTAACTAGATCGTTCATATTCCTGACTTGGTTCATTTTCTACATAAGGAAATGCCTGTACCAAGTCAGGAATATGAAGTTGTGTTTCGTTCGTGTGATGTGTTTGAGCTCTGATTTTGCCATTTGGTAGGGGGTTTTCCGTTTTGAATTTTCTTTGGAGTTCGGTATTTTTGTTATTTTACTTTTTATATAGATGGAATATTAATCGTGTAGAAATATGATCAACATGGATGTTTCGTAAATGATTTTATGTAAACTTGCGTAATGAAGATATAACAGTGATTTTACATACGCTAAAAGTGGAACTGTGGGTTTAAAATATGATTTAAATTATTTTTACAGTTAATAAATATCTGGTTTGGAATGAGATATTAATGAACATTCTAGTCTGTGTTCTAAAATTTCACCATCGGATTTTATTTACTAAACGTACGGTTTTTGATCAATTCATATTATTTTTATTTTGAACCATTCTGTCCATTGTATTGTAATAGTTTGGAAACGTTATTTGTACAATAATATATAAAACGATAAAGTTACATGTTTATTTGATACATAACTTTCCTATTGACCTTTTCACTACACTTTTTGTATCGAAAATGAGTATACATGTAAGCTGCAGTTCATATATACATAATGGGAAAATCTATCACACTTGTTAACCGTATGGTTGTTGAGTTTCCTGGATAATTATTAATTCTAGACAAGTCTTTAAATCTGCCAGAGATTATCGAAAAAAACGCCATCACATACACATTCCCAAAAAGACAGAAACATTGAGAAATAACATATAGTATACATCAAAGTCATCTCAAATAATCACGTTTATGAATGAACCAAGATCCATTCCCGGTATCGATATTGATATAGTTTAGGCATGATTTGTAACAACAAATTTTTAAAATTATAAGGTTTCATGACAGAAATCTCGTACATGGTAAACACACATGAAAGATTACTCAAATAAAGACCACATGAGCAAGTTTGATTTATGTTTTAAATTAATAAGTCAGGTAATATAACCCACATGAATGTAGTTGTATATATTTGAAAAAGATGTAAAGACTTGTAATGGTATGTATATTATGTCATTAATTTAGTCCTAGATCATGTAAATGTAAGAAATCTAATTTCTTGTAGATTTGAAAAAAAACCCACCTCCATCTCCTTGGAAGTTCGATGTTTAATAGAAGTAACAAAAACCCTGAAGACAATGTTTTGTCTATGTCGGTTTTTACTATAAATGTTATTTGTGTTTATATCATTCTTTTTTGTTTGTTGTTGCAGGTCTTAGTCAGTCTAAGGCAGCTAAAGGCTTGGAAACATTATCTGTGATATTTTATTTGTTATCCCTGTTGTCATTTTGGCTTTACCTACGTCACCCTGTTTATGGAGGAGACATACTTTTAGTATGCATGATCTTTATCATTTTGATCGGTAGGTGAATTTAAGAATTATAAAAAAAGAAACAAAAAACTGAATTATTGGCTATAAAACTACACAACAAATGTTATTCCCCGTCTTTTAAACCATTTTTCTGGCCAAAGGGAGACACTATTTTAAAGTCGATTCTCCAAATTCAAAAAAAAATAATGCCATTTGCGCACAAAACGTTGAGATCTGGATAGTAATAATGATGTTGATAAAATGACGCGGAAGCACACGAAAGTCATGACGTTGCTACATTGTTACGTGATGTCATTGGCTAACATTGTATCACGTCTGACTGTCATTGATTTTAAAGAACCATTAGGTAGCAGGATCAAAGGGGAACATGTACTTATTTACCTTCTCCTTCCCATAGATGATCGATATAAATAACGTTCATGCAAATAGATATAATCAGATCTGCAATCTATATCAAATTTCTTAAATTACACAAAATGTTGAAATATAACAAAAGACAATTACTAAAGAGGTGTCCGGCATGAACATGTTAATGGGTTCAACTTTTTGATAAGATCTAAACCCTTTGCCTTTTCACATTATGAAAGTTAAAAACAAGTTGGACGAGACGAGACAAGACAAGACAAGAATTTTATTGGTTTAAGATCAAACATAAGGATTGTTACCAACCAAACATTAAATAATAACACATAGAAATATAAAAAAGACATGTTGAAACCAGGAACAAAACAAGAAAGTTATGTAACGTTTTGATTTTAGAGTTATAGTTTAGATACATCATAACAAAACGGAATCCATCGTCCACCTCCATATTACATAGCGGGAACATTATATAATTTTCTTATATAAAAAGGAGATGGTATATGATTGCAATGAGACAATTATCCAAAGGACTTATATGTAAGTAGATATAGGTCACCGCACGACCTTCAACAATGAGCAAAACCCATACCGTATAGTAAGCTATAAAAAGGCTCCAATATGACAAACTGTAAAACAATTCAAACGAGAAAATGAACGGCACGTACTTAATCGATCACGTTCAATGGCTAAACAACTATTACTTTTTATCCTTTTGACATAGTTTTATTTTTATATCATTCTTATCTTACTCCAATACAAGATGATTTTCAAGTGCATACTTAACTTCAAATTTTCTGTAAGTTCTTTACTTATTTCCATGAATTGAATAATCAATCATCTTTAAAAATAGACAACTTTTCAAAACTGCATTGTAATTTTCATTTAGCTTTCCTATTGAATCAGAAAGTAATTTGTTTTTAGAAAAATATGCTCATTCACCCGAACATGAGAAATAATTTATTTGGATAGTAATATTTTAATTTTTGAAGCCAATTCCATACCTAATTGCTAGTTAAATTAATTTTTGTTTTTCATGAAAATATGCAAGGACAAAACAAGAAACTTAATCTTAGTTATCAATTTTGCACTGATAACAATGTATCCGAATGAGTTTGCAGATAAAATACTTGTATTCCAGCGTTGTTATAGCAACACTTATGTATTTTTGTTAGCATTTCCTGAACATTTATTTCCATTTTTTTTAATTTTGGCATGCGTGGCAAAATACAAGTAGAAAACGCGTTTAAGAAAATTGTTGGTTTAATTTTAAAAGTTTTACCGGTTGCTATATTTTATTATAAATAACAAATATATTTTACTATAAATAACATTGATTTTTTTATTTTGTATATTTTCCATTTTCTATTACTCTGGCAGATAAGATACTATGCTATATTAGCATCTTTAACAAAGTATTTTGATGATAAAAACGTTTATATATTTAGTCAGCAACCTACATGTACTATTGCCTAGCCATTTCACTTTTGTTGAAGCATTTTTTTTTACCTCAAGATGACTGACTGTTGGATATTTCTGGGTCGTTGGGTTGCTGTCTGATTGACATATACCCGCATCTCCTTTTTTCATAATAATTTAATTCAATAAATGTCAAACTTCTAAATAAGTGATACATTCCAGTCCGGAAAGATGTTCATGTTCCCATCGTTGTTATCTCGGTAAGAAAAGGCGTAGTCGTGTTTACTTAGTATGAACTCATAAGATTAATAATTTTGACACAACGCCAGATCTAATGACCTACGTGTTCTAGCTATATCCATATAACCTATTTACTTGTCATCTGACATGCATTTCATTTTTATTTCAGTTGAAACAACTGCAGTTGGAGCTCTTTGTTGGGTAACTATGTCTGATATTCAGAAGAGATATGTATTATCATGGGCGTTTGGATTAACGGTTGGTTCCGTGATATTTCCCGTTATTGCTGGCTGGTTTGTTTCACAAGAAAGAAGTTCTTTTATTCAACAACATAGACGTTCCAGTTTAGAACAACCAGAAAAGAAGGAAATTTTACTTCATTAAATTTTGTGATAAATATGTTATTTCTCCTGATGGATGTTAGCATGAATTGCGTTCTTAAAATGAAAAACCACATACCAGAGACTTACGACATAACTTATATATTACTAATATTACTAATATATACCAGACGTATCGCACGTACATATAAAATATTTGTAATGCTAAGTATTTTTTATCGAGATTTTTTCTGATAAACGTACGACAATCCAATTTGAATCATGGTCCTCCACAGGTTGCACTTCTGTCAATATAGATAATGCAATTTCCCATAGGAACTCCTTTTATGGCGAAAACTGTGCCACCTTTACTATGAAGTTTCGTAAAATATAGCGTGGAATAGAAAGTTCACATGAACTACTATTTTTTTTGCAAATGTCAAAACATAGGGCTGTGCGGTATATTTTCAGCATTTATATACCTCGAACTTCTAAGAGTTTAAACTTATACTAAAATTATGTACTACATCTCCCTTTACTTTGAGTCTTCCTGAGAACTATGTCTTTGTCTATTTTAAAAAACTGTTTGAACATTGTGTTAATAAATCGGTTCCATTGAAATTCTTGAAAAGAACAGAAAAAAATACTCAAATGAGACAGCAACAAACTACTTAATGAACCAATTTCATTCTAGAAGTAAATTCAAAAAAAGGAATAATGCAGTTCGTCAACGGGTCTATAGAGAAAAAAAATTACAACTGAACGAACCAATCAATAAATAAAAAAGAAAATGTGTGTATAGTAGTAACTGTTACCTTAAGCTTTCAGTGTGAGATGTGGACACTTCACTATACCAAGTACATACAATCTAGGTATCTTCTCATGTGTAATGGCATAAATAATTGACTTCTTTACTCTTTACATAAGTATTCCTCATTCTGAATTTAAAGACAGTTACAAGTATTATTTGTTTCATAAAAAGTTACATAGTACATGTACATACATCTTGTTTAAAGAAAGGACAACTTATTCTTTGCTAAAACACTTTTAACAAAAGTTATTTGAAACTGACATTACCAAAATTTGTGATTTTTTTTATTTAGGAGTATTTGTTTCGCTTGATGGGCGCGTTTTCGGACATTTTGGCTTCGAATGGGAAACCAAATGTACTCCTGCTCTTGCCGAATTAATCTTTTATTCGTATTTTACGGACAAAATACACGAGTTCGCAAGTCAAGATGACGAAAAAGAAGCTATATTTTCCCTTTCACTTCACATGCCGCTATATAAATGATGCCCTATTATTGAATAATTCTAAGTATGAGGACTAGCGGATCGCATCTATCCCAATGAACTTGCAATTAAAATACCACAGATACAGTTAAGTCAGCTTCATATATTAACTTACATCTATAAATTAACAACGAAGGTTGGTTAGGAACTTTTCTTTAAAGCAACAAAAAAAGATTTCAATATTCCAATTGTGAACTTTTCATTTCGGTGTAACAACATTTCAGTAGATAAACAAATAATTAATTTTAGAAGCGTTTTTATGGATTAAAGTTCGTCAGAAAAGCTCAAAAAAATATTTGATAGCCAAGGAATATAGAAATATACTTGGGGATTGGAGCTATATGACCAAAGGGATCGTTAAAATTTGCATTACGAAGTGTGAAATATACGATAACAGTTTAAAAATTTAATGCGTCCGAATCGCTTTTCTGGATTTTCCTTCACTAGAAACACTCAAGCCTGAACATTTGAAAGTCAGGGGTGTATTAATACGTAGAAGCATTTGGAGCGATATGACAAAAAAGGGCATAAAACACTAATTACTTAATAACTGTTAAATTATCAAAGAAAAATTTAAGAAATGTATGATGAAAATAATGTCAGTGGCAGTTCTGACTACTGGGTTTTTGCTTGTGAGAGAGCTGTCTACCGTCACTTTGGTGGATAATTGTCTCATTGGCAATCATACCACATCTCCTTATTTTATATTAATGACACCCTTTGGGACAAACAAAGCACCAATAGCAGTATAGACCAGTGTTAGAAATAAGATTAAACTTGATAAATTTGTTACAAGATGTAGAACCTTGAGATTGAGTATATATCTCTATATATTTTAGTTTATATTTGAAAAATAGATAACGTAAAAACACAAAGAAATACATGGTAATAACAGTTAGTACCATGTATTTCTTTGTGTTTTTCGTTATCTATTTTTCAAATGTACATTACTGTACCAAGTAACTTTTCATTTTCGAATATTAGTTTTTATATATGGTATTTTATCCAGGGCTTGTGGTTCCTAACATTATTTTGTTGAGAGAAAGAGTTGATGCTTTCACGAAAGCTATCAAAACAAGATTTCTTAATGGTAAAGTTGAACCTTTCCTTCGAAAGTTGTACGGTCGCCATCATGATTTGATTGACCCTTATGAAATGGCTTTGTCACAGATGATCACAGATGTGTTCATTGTTGTCGTAGCAGCAATCCCGTCTTCTCTTTTATATTGAAATATTTCCGAATACGACTTATCTTCGGATTATAACTTGCCACAAAGAACATCAATAGTGGCAATGGTTTAGCAGGACTTCTTTTTCTTCCGTAGAACTTGGTTCACCCAAGGTATCGTTGGTGTTCGTTTTACTCAATATTTAGTTTTGTTTAGATGTAAAATTATTGCCAATGCGACAACTCTCCACGAGAGACCAAATGACTTAGAATGAAACAACTTTAGGTCCCCGTACGGCCTTCAACAATAAGCAAAACCCATATCGCATAGTCAGCTATAAAAAGGTCCAGAAATGACAAATTTAGAACAATTCAAACGAGAAAACTAACGGCCTGATTTATGTACAAAACGATAAACGAAAAACAAATATGACAAACAGCAACCATCGATAACCACTGAATTGCATGCTACTGACTTGGGACAGGCACATACATCATGTGGTGGGGTTTAATATGTTTGCGGGCGCCCCAAACCTCTTTCAACATGGGACAGTGGTGTAACAGCACAATATAAGAACAACAAAACACAAACAAAAACCAAAACTAACAAAAACACCAAAGACACAAAGTACAGATCTGAGAGTACTCGCAGTTACTGAAAGCTAGTTCTAAGCCAATAACAACTTATAAAAATGTTATGTATCTCAGACTAAAAAATCAATCAGTACACACCCAACATCAAATGAATTTAGTGTAAAGACAACATTAACAGTCAGAGAAAAAAGATTGTAGGACAATAAATGTACATATTTAACGGGAAGCTTAATACCAAAATTTATGATAAAAGAGATGATTTTTTATTTCCTTTTGTTAATTATCCTTTTTTAGATGGTGACGTTCCCTTGTCACCATTTTATGGTGTTTATATATCTCAACTTGTTCGATTCACTCGTGTATGTAACAACGTATTTGATTTTAACGAAAGAAATCTCTGTATTACTAAAAAATTATTACACCAGGGTTTTCGATATCACAAACTAGTCAAAACATTTACTAAAGTTTATCATCGGTACAAGGACATCATTCGTAGATATAAATCAACATTCAGACATCTTATACGTTCAGGTATTTCACATCCAATCTTTTATGGTAATATTCTTTACAAAGCACAAAAATGTCGGCATTTACCTCAAAAGCTAACCAAACCTTTAAACAGACTTATTCAGAAGGTATATAGTTACGATACTGTTGTCAGGTCATTGAAGATTGCATATTTTGGTATTAATATTGATTCACTCATAGCGTCTTTGCATCGCTAATAAACACATTTGTTCTAAAACCAGTTATTGGCATGATATTGGTTATGTTCTTCTCATGGTATGATACTAAACCCCTAACGGGAGGGATTGTGCTTGATTTTCATCTGATGAAGACATAATCTTTCAATCAGTGTAATTGAAGTCTGGAGCTGGCATGTCAGTAACTGCTAGTAGTCCTTTGTTAATTTATATATCATTGTCATTTTGCTTAGTTTCTTTTGTTACTTATTCTGACATCGGACTCGAACGTCTTTTAAACTGGGTTTTATTGTGCGTATTGCTGTGTGTTTGTATATTCTACATTGGCTAGAGGTATAGGGGGAGGGTTGAGATCTCACAAAACATGTTTAACCCCGCCGCATTTTTGCGCCTGTCCCAAGTTAGGAGCCTCTGGCCTTTGTTACTCTTGCATGTTTTTTAATTTTAGTTCATTTATATGTTTTAGGGTTCAGTATGACGTCCATTTTCACTGAACTAGTACATATTTTTATTTAGGGGCCAGCTGAAACCCACCTCCGGGTGCCGGATTTTCTCGCTTTGTTGAAGACCCTTTGGTGGCCTTCGGCTGTTTTCTTCTCTTTGGTCGGATTGTTGTCTCTTTGACATATTCCCCATTTCCATTCTCAATTTTATATGTGTTTAGCAATAATAGCTAATTGGGTTTTAATTCATTGATAACAAAATCAATATCTATATCGATAAAAAAACATTCAAAGGTCTAAATACAGTGTTGAATTGGTAACCTTTTAGAATAATTTTACGGGCTCTGTAAACAACATCATTGTAAATATTAGGATATGCTATCCGGTTTGTAATAAGTTTTTTTACAGAAAAAAATCTTTTTATCTATGAAAGAATTTAGTAAAGGTTTTAAGTAATTTGGTAACCAAATCCTTGACTTAATAATTTACCAGTGATACATAGATTGCGTTCATTGAAATCCAAAACGTCACTTCAGACACGGGCAAAGCGAAAGAGTTGGGATATATAAACTCTGTATAATGGTTCCAAAGGAACGTCACCATTCGAAAAGGGAAAATAAACAATAAAAACGAAAAATCGTCCCCTTTGACGTAAACTTTTGTGTTTTTGGACTTGTTTTCTATTTCGTCGTCTTTATTTTGATCACGTGTTTTCTGTTATCCTTCGGTTTTGTATTGCCTTTGAGGTATCTTCTCTGATATTTTGTGCGATTCCCACTATTTTCACTCCATCGTTTGTCCGTTTTACTTGCCTTGAAATTTGAACTAAAATATGCAAATGTTCATAATGACTTTCCTAATCATTTAGCGTACTTCCGTTCGAAATAATTTATCCTAGGATATAACATTCAGTGATTTTAATAAGGACCTTAATTAGAAATAAGAAGATGTGGTATGAGTGCCAATGAGACAACTCTCCATCCAAGTCACAATGTGTAAAAGTAAACAATTATATGTCAAAGTACGGCCTTCAACACGGAGTCTTGTCTCACACCGAACAGCAAGCTATAAAGGGCCATAAAATGACTAGTGTAAAACAATTCAAACAGGAAACCCAACGGTCTAATCTATATAAAAACTGAGAAACGAGAAGCACTTAAGAACCACATTAACAAACGACAACCACTGAACAACTTAAGTATAAGAATATAAAGTTTTGGTTCAAGAATAAAGATATGATGCGGCTTTCATAAGTATGGATAAATTATTAACTAGTTAACAAATTTGTGTAATATATTGAACCTTCCAACTAGACCACAGGTTCACAGTGTTTACTGATCATATGGTCAACAGGCTGACAAGGTCAACAGGTTTACATATTTCTTTTTATATAAATTGTATTTTGCATGTGTTTTATAGATATAAATACAAATATGCAAATCATAATTCGAAAAAATGCTTGGACGTGAAATAGAATCAGAATAAATTTTATGTACATACCAAGTTTTGAGAGCTTTTTTCAAACATAAAATTCCAGCAAAGCAATATAAAAAGGAATGAAGATACCAAGGAGCAACTATATCTAATAAGACAGATGTTGGTATATCCTATACTTGAACATATTTATAAATGTGGTCAAGAATATGGAAGTTCTGCTGTTCTTTTGAATATCAGCAAGGATAAAGAGAAAACATACTAAACTTAAAGTTCAAAGAATCACTTCAATAATTCTAAAATTGCCAATTTATGACTATCAGAACAGAAAGTATCATATATTAGACCGTTCGGGTTATGATTGCCACAGGACGCACCTCCTGTTCAAACCCAATATTCATAAATGTTCTTTAGACATGTACAAATGTTATTGATATGGTTCCATTACCAGATATCTTCACTATCAAAACATAGTACAAAACATCAGGTAGAGTATGTAGCAATGTTCTAAAGCAGAAAGAAATTGTGTCTGTTCTGGTGAGGTGTCACTTTTTTACATCGTTTCACACCCTTTCGCACGAATAATATCAGAATATAACCAATATGACCACAATCAACAAAGGGATTGTATAAAGTTTTATCTTTGGGGCAATCAATCGGAGTGATCTGAAACGACTGAGACGGGATCATGCCAAAAGATGGTGGCCGTCGTTTTTTTTTTTCGAATTGACATAAGAAGCTCAACGAAGAATATTTATTTCAACAATTAACCAGTACAGTGTAGGAACAGTTTGTTTGAGAAAGGTTATTAACATAATGATACTCTTAAAATACTTTGACAGAAGTAGATTAAAAAAAATTCAGGAACAGTATGAAAGAATGCAAATATTCCACCGACACTGTCAATTCAATTGAGTAGAAGTGATGTGATGTATTAATTCACGACACAAAAACTCTACACGCACTTGGAAAAGCCAAATTAAAGAAACGATACTTTTCTTCATCTTCGAGTCACTGTTTTAAAAGTATCACACAAAAATTCCGATGGTTGCTATTTCCTTTTACTAAAATAGGAGTTTTATAATGTTCTATCCTTTTAGACTCCATGGAATTAGACCGTGTGCAAAAATATGAATGGAATGAATTGATTACAAGCTTGTTGGCATCGAGACGATAAAACCGTATTCCGAAAAAAGCAGGATCATTTAATATACAATTAGAAAATGAATGAAGAGCACTTTTATTAAGTCAAAGAGAATGCAAGTAATTGAGTAAAATAAGACATTTTGATTTAGTGTTATTTTTATGTACAGTTACTGTTCAAGTTTTTCATTTTCCGTTTCAACAGCCCAACTTGGATTGACTTGGTATTTTGACAATTCTGTCTGCAATAGCGATTTTTATTGCACGAAATGTGATGTTTTTGCTGAATCCTCTTGTGTCGTTAGTTTTTGTTTAGGGATTTTTACTTTTTGTTAGCCTTGGCAATACATGAAGTGTACTGATAACCTTTATTTTGCCAATTCTCTTCTAGAGTATTATATGGATGGAGATAACCTTCAGTATCCTCAGATGCAACTCCACTGACATTAGATGTTTTACTGTCAGTGCTTGAACTAGAGATGTGAGTGTTGCGTATAGCCGATCTTTCTTCACCTATTGTAATGTTTGAGATTTCTACCATGTTTGATTCGTCGATTGTTTCATATTGAGAATCAGAAATGTCATTTGTATTGACAATAACAAGTTGTTCTTGAAGAGTTGATGGCTGTGCATTTATTTCACTATTAGTGGCAGGGACCGCATTAAAAGTCCTTACACGATCGGTACGGTGTTTTGTACACAACAGTCTTCTTAGTATCAATACACAAATACAAACTATAATCATCGACACGGCAGTACTTGCTGATGATGCTGCTATTATTATTATAACCTGGTCCAGAGTAACTGCAGATTCTTTGTCATCTTAAACATAAATTGTATAAATAATTATGTATACTGTATATACTAGCAATACAACATCTTGACAGAATAAATTACTTTCTCTTATAGGTTGATTTTTTTTAATCCTAGTATCTATGATGCGTTTATTTACAACCACTGGGTCGATGCCACGCTGGTGGAGGTTTCCTCCCCAAGGGTATCACCATCCAGTAGTCAGTACTACTGTGTTGACATGAAATATCATTAATACGGTCATAATTATCGATTAACTGTTTACAAACATTTGAATTTTTCGAAATACTAAGGATTTTTTACCCCAGGAATAGATTACCTTAGCTGTACTCAGCAAAACTTTTCGACGTTTTTGTGTATGGAAGGGAATATCCGCCATAATTATACATTTCTTAATTTATAAAATGTAATTTCTTAATTTGTAACATGTATTTTTTCCATCCGTTATATGAATTTCTACAATTTTTTATTTGTGAAATGTAACTTCTTAATGTGTAAATGCAATTTCTTAATTTGTAAACGTATTTTCTTCCTTCGTTACATGAAATTCTACATTTCTTAATTTGTGAAATGTAATTTCTTTGTTTGAGTCACGTTTTGGGAAAATATGTCAGTGTTATTGTTACCGCTGCCAGCCAATGAGAAGTTCCGTTTCTTTGAAAGTGTCCCTTTTTTTTGTATTTGATATATAAGTTTAAGATTGTATAGATCTTAGGCCTTAAACTGTATAGACATTCGTCTTACGTAGAAGACAATGTTAAGCTCTAGATGATTTTGTGGGTTTTTGTTGAAGTGTCACGTTGCTGTCATATTGATTATATCCAATATCTTTATAATTTGTTGAGCATCATATAACATTATTCGCATTTTTTTACTTGTTTTTAAAATTAAAATTCACATATGATACACGGACTGCAGCTTGGAGATATAAACTCAATAAATGGGTGTTACAAACAATTGGAAAACTCCTAAGGGACTGGTCAGTTTCTTTCATTTGGGGACCTGGAAGGAGACATTGGAATTTCGCTTATTTTTTTTAAGTCCCCACCTTGAAGAATGAAAATAAATTCAAGATCCACCCTTCCAAAACATGAAAATTTCACCCCCCCCCCCCCCCCCACAACAATATTTCTCAATACTTTTATTCTATATAAAAAACATAAAATTCATACAATTTCTATTTACATTTATTTTATCAATAAAATAATGAAAGGGAGGAGGGTAACTTAAAATCGTATAAATCGAGAGAAAGAACATGATTTTGTTTGCGATCAAAAAAGGTGGTGGTGGGCGTACGCCCTCTACATCCCTGGATTCGCCACTGTCAGGGAAGTTGCAAGTGGCGTCAGCGAACTGAATTTGGATCTGCCTGTTATGGTCTCAATGACACTTCTTCATTTAATTTAATCACATTGTTTCTATCCTTTATTAATGACGTTGGTAAATTGTTGAAACTTGGTATTTGGATCTTAACAATTGAGCCAAGCGGAGTGAGGCAAAAAAATGATGTTGTTGGTGCCAAAAAAATATATATTGTTTTTATAATAGGGGGAAGTGTTGGATGGTTGTCGCCTAAGTTTGCATCTCGAGGTCATAAAGGAAATTATTCAATTAAAGGCATGTTAAAATGCCATGACTCCCAGATATGATCTTAAACTAATGCAATCTTTATGCTCAGTCATGTGTTTTACCATTAATCATGTACGGATCAGTATTATCAGTGTTTCTATCATTATGGAAAATGGTATAATTAGAAAACCTTACAGAAAACCTGCCAAAAATAAGACATCATGCCATGACAGAATTTCTTAAATCTTTAAAAAACAATTTCGATGCCCCCATCTGAAGTTTTGAAATCAACCCAAAGATAATTTACATTATTTCAAATCATTGTTCCTCATTGTTCGTGTACTACGTGACAACAACGGTTATGTTTTAAACAAAATTATCATATGACATTTGAAAGATAAATATTTTATGGGCTATCAACTTGAAATCGACAACTTCATATGAAAATTTAACTATATGACGTATCATAGATACCAGGATTGAAATTTTGTACGCCAGACGCGCGTTTCGTCTACAAAAGACTCGTCAGTGATTCTCGAATAAAAAAAGTTAAAAAGGCCAGATAATGTTCGAAATTGAAGAGTATTGCGGACCAAAAATTGATTTCCTGAAGTATTTCTAAATGATTTCATGAAGAATTTCTGCAGATGTTTTGTGTTTAGCGTTTTACTTTTAGATTCAAATTGTTAATAATATATACATTTTATTTCGAAGATGTATAATAAATTGTATTTTGAAAACATTTTTTTTTATAATGAATAGTATTCACTTACACAGTCGCATACATTTTAGTCAATTAATATTACTGTAATCATAAAAATATATCCAAATATTCCATAGGATTCTAAGTAAACCCCATCCATTCAGGGGTCCCTCAAAGTACCACTGAATGGAACCTCTTGCACTAACCAAATTTTTCCGCATAGCATAGCATACAGTCCAAACTAAAGTAATTTTGACATTCTGTTTTAAAACTGACAAGTTCAAATCCACGAAAGAACAAGAAGTGATTATAAAGTGGCGATTATAAACACTTCCGAACGAAATCATTTTGATAAAATTCTTTATGTCTACAATTACAGCAATGTATTGAAGTGAAGTATTTCATAGGGGAAGAGGATAGGATAGTTTGGTTCATTTGCAATCCTGTAGACTTCCAAAGTGTTAAAAATATTCTTGGGGACAAATTCAATATTAAATTTTGGCGGCGAGGATTCAGTCTAACCCATTTTGTATGTGGTCGATTCCCAATTATAATATTGGTATTAACCATTTGTATGCGATTTGCACCACAAAATCCCTACACGAGCTCCAAATCATACGGTTGGAAAATAAACCAGCTTAATGTGATATGCACCACTAAGTCAATACACGAGACATCGATGAAATTCAATGTCTTTATTCCTACCGGACCTGGCTGCATATTTATACACTCGCACAGTTAAACGAACAACCCTATTTCAAATGACTTTATCTGCTAGATTTAACTCCAGTCAATCCCTTGGCGTTTGAAGGCTTAATCAAAATGATTTATTGGTTAATAACATATAGATAATAGCGAAAAATTCTTCAAAAAATGATAACATACCTTTTTCATAGTTTGTTGAAGTAACTTCTTTATTCCATCCTTTCGTGATTTCTATTAAAATAAATTCTTTTTTCTCTTCTTTAGTGGTTTCTGATAAATTGACTTCGTTTTTCCATTCTTTAGTGGTATCTTTATAATTGGAACTGAAATTGAACAATACAAACCCTTACTGAGTCAATATTTTATGCAGCCTAGATAGCCGAGTGGTGTAGGGTGTATGACACAGTGCAGACGGAGTTGACACGTTGTCATAGAACCATGGGTTCAAATTCCGCTGTTTGGAGTATACAAAGCTACCGACAATTTGAAAATCATCCTTTGTTTGTCTAATTTTTAGACGAAGTATATATAATCGTTGGTGTTAGTCCTGTAAAACCCTTGGTTATCTGATAGATAATGTCTGTCGTAGAGATTCTCACATTTAGACATATGAAATAAAAATTCAGCGGTGCGACTATATGGTAAACGTTGTCTTCCTCCATATTTGACAACAACAGCTGGTCTGCAAGGTATTCATCTTCATGCCATCGAACATTTTTACTGTGTAACAACTCTAGATTAAGCCGGCGAGGGAAGAAAGTATTAACAATAAAACGGAACTCCAAGGTAAATGAAAAAAGGGTGAAGTCCATAAAACTTGACAAAACTAACGCTCGATTATATCGACTAACGGAAAACACCTGCCATATCCATGACTTGGTACAGGCATTTTCATGAAATGGTTGGTTAAACCTGGTTTAATCGTTAGCTAAAGCTCCCACTCGTATGACATTTGTTTAAAGTTCCGTTATATTGATAAAATGGGTAAGCAACTCAAATAGAAATGTAATTGGTAAACATGACAACAATTGGGATCACTCGAATAATGTGCTGTCATTTTATTTAACTTTGTTGACCGAGTCGTCTATAGCACTTCATATAATGAAGGCGGAGATGCTACGACGTCGCAAAGACTCAAATCCACTTAGGGAAAAACAAAATTTACAAATCTAACACTGTTGGGATGAATTTAAGATTAAAAAACTTGAATCTTCTTTGCAACAAAGATGTTAAAATATTGATTTATAAAAAAATATACAGCGCTAAGCTGTTCGATGCCTTGCAATCAGATAACTTACCCCTATAATGATTCGGAACACACAAAAAAAACCACGGATAAGCTGTAAATTAATTCGAATCAAAAACAAGATAGGAGGATGCACAACGGCATTTATTTAGTGAAGATTCTGTAAAATTTTCATTGAATTCTGACAAGGTTTTAGGAGGCGAAGAGGATACAAATGTTAACTGTGGTATGCAGATATGACAAAGTACACGGCCATATTATGCCAAAGTAAACCACAAAACCAATTGGAGTGGAGGTGTAAACGTACATCATAGAAGTAAGAGTCTGTAAAAGTTTCAAATTATTCGGTCAAGGAGTTCAGGAGCAAAAGTGGGACGGCAGGATGATAAAACAAACAAACAAACAATATAAATAAACATCCGCTCCAGTAAGTGTAAGGAGGGGATAAATGATTAATGTTGATTTTTGTCTAATGTCTTATTGTAATGAAGGGCATGTTGTGTAGAGTAAAATAAAATGTCCTACAGCAGCTCATCAGCGTAGTCTTGTTACACGAATCCCTTGACTTGAATGACTCCTACTTTTCGGGTGACATATTTTCATATTTTTTATCCCTAATACTAATTCGACTTTCCACTGTACCTAGTAACATAAACCCTAAATCTTGTATTTTTTATAAAAATAAGAAGATGTGGTATAATTGACAATGAGACAACTCTCCACAAGAGACCAAATGACACAAAAATTATAGGTCACCGTACGGCCTTCATCAATGAGAAAACCCAAACCGCAAAGTCAGCTATATGTATGTTTGTTTGCATGATTTGTTTACCAAATTTGGCAATATAACGGAACTACAAACAAATGTCATACAAGTGGGAGGTTTAGCTAGTTATAAAACCAGGTGTAACCCATCATTTTCTTCAGAAAATGGCTGTACCAAGTCAGGAATATGGAAGTTGTTTTCACTTGTTCTGTTAATTGATAGCGTTTGATTTTTATTAATATGCCTCGGAGTTCGGTATTTTGTTATACTTTTTATTCTATTTATGAGTTCTGAAATAACATTAACGGTACCAATTTTAATGCACATTTTGTGTCTCTTCAGTGATGCTGGAGCCAAAATATAAAGTTAAATAACTGAGAGATGCAGCAGTAGTTCACTGATGTTCTTAACTCGTTATTCCATTTGGAATATACCAGGAGAATACAAGAGAGGTAATTGCATGGACTTCAAACAGAGCGAGACCGGGGCGACGACAGGTTATGCATCCCCTACTATGCATGCATCACCCGCATTGCAGTTCCATGTTGAGATTAAAAAAAATATCAAGCTACGAAATAGAACACAATCGATTTGATTTATAGATTAGACTTCATAAGAATTCTAATCACTAATGAAATTTCATTTGCTCTTCCTTTAAGTCACAACTTTGCTGGACGAGTTTTTGTTTTGAAAGAAGAATTTCGTCGTATTAAAATTACTTTTGTCAATTTTGCTTAGATATTACATGTGAATCAATAAAACAAAAACTAATCATGTTAAACTTTGTTCAAACTTTATAAGTATGAGACAGGTGCTATCTGAAGAGCACACGAAGGTTATATTGGTCCCATATTTCATTTCATTGTCTTAATTCATGCCATCTTACTTTTCAATATTCAGATAATTCAATTTGCGAGAAATCATATGCTTCGTTTTTGGTATAATCATATAAAAAAATTAGCTGGAAATCGTATGCTCCTTTTTGGTGTAATCTGATGCAAATACATGGGAAATCGTATGATCCTGTGTGATTTTTTACGAAAAGTCCGGAAAAAAAAACGGAAATGAAGAGTTCCGCCATGCAGTTGACGGTTTTTCAGTACCATATATGGTTTAGACCTTATTCGGCCGTTATCGGTCTTTTTGGAGTTAATCTGATTCCATCAGTTTTTGTTTGTTACCTTGATTTATTTCTTCCTAATCGATTTACGACGTTTGAACATCGGTAAAATACTGTCACCTTAATTTTCTACCATGCCTGTGGAAGCATAATATGAGGAAGACACTACCTGATAACTTGCCGAATGTAACCTTTCGAAATCAGATATACAAATGTTCGGAATACGTTTTGCTCCTTGGGTACAATCAGCATGAAATCGAAAGCCTCTTTATGATGTTAACGAAAAAGGAACGAAAAACAAAATAGAGTATTATCAAACGCCATGTTGTTGAAGATATTTCATCTCGTTAGTGGTATGATCCAAATCAACCCTTCTACAAATTAAGATCATTTCGGGAGCATATTATGTTTGTTGATTAGGTCCTTTCACTTTTCCATGGAAAGACCTTTTTATTTTGTTCTGTTTATAAAGTCTTTCCACTTTCCCGTGAAGAGACATTTTGCTTTTGTTCTGATTATTATCATTAGGTCTTTCCACTTTTCCGTGAAAAGAACTTGTGATTTTGTTCTGATTATTTTGTTCTTCTTCCGCCACTATTTTCCTTTTTTTCTGTTTTGAAACATGTCGATAAGATATTTTGAATGTGATATCGTACAGTGTATGTGCTTTTGAAAATGACCTGTATTACCGAATACTTTTCTTCTCTCCCTGAACACAGTTTTTATTGTGAGGGTATCTCCTTCGCAACCGCAAAAGAAATCGACAAATTTATTTTTCCATATTTCTCATTATGCCCCAACGATTCTCTGTTCAATTTTGACCGATGCGACATGGAGACTCCATATGATAGTTATTTCCCTTTCTGTATTTGACATAAGATATATATTAATGTAATTCATGACCATAAAGTGACACAGACCTAGCATACACCAAAAAGGAAATTAAGGTCTAGGTCAAAGGTCAAGGTTATGTTCTAAATCTTGACTTCTGCTCATTATCGGTACTGTTTAGAAACCGTATAATATATCGACGAAATCTTTTACCAAATTGTAAGTTGCGTAACATATTAAATTTGGTTGAATGCATAAGTTGACATTTGATAGTAGTTTCCTCCCCTCTCATGTTTGAAATTATCTGTATGATGATATATCTCGTTTACCACAGTAGAGACATCAGGTCCTTTGATTTAAGGTTCTTGTCTTTTGACCTTTTAATTGAGGTCAAAGTCGCAGGTAAATTTGAAGTTCTAGATTTTGATTTTGGTTATAACTTCATATTGATACACGATAAAGCCATATGGTCTTTTACATTTGGTAGAAATACATACGACCTTGAAAATGTCAATCTGAAGTGACCTTTAGTAAACCAGAAGTAGCCATTTTTTGCACTAGTTTAATGTAAAAGTAAATAGAACCATATATTTTTGGAATCAATGTTAACTAACATATATAATACAGGAAGTGATATTTTTCAAACCGGAAGTAGAAAATTATCTCTCTTATTTCAATCAAAAGTGTAAAGAAACCAAATCGAAATGATATTTTAAACTGAAAGTTTATATTTTCATATCAAAATATGTGCATTTGTAGTGTAAATACCTACCTTCAATTGTTCTTTGAACAATTGGTTTTTAATTATGATTTTCTTTCTTACTGTGTATTTTGGTTCGCAAGATATCGATGAGATATTTGGTATATGATATCGAAAAGTTATTGCGCTTTTGGACCTCACCCTTTTTTTCTCCCCTAACACTGTTTTTCTTGTGATAGCTACTTCTTCGCAACCGTAAAAGAAACCGACATTTTTTTTCTCCAAATTACTCGTTTCATCCTTAGCACGAATCTACTTATCAGCCTTATTTGAAGCAAAAGTATACAGAAACCATACACTTTTTGGAATCGGTGGACTGCGAGCTATGAGTTGACAATGAGTGACTCTGAATATACCGGAAGTGGCTGATTAAAACTCTTATTTCATCAGAAAGTTACCATAAACTATGTATCTTTGGAATCAGTGAAAAATAAGCTACATTCGGAAAACGGAAATGGCATTTTAACCGGAAGTTAATATTTTTAATTCAAACGATGGTGTATTTGAGGAGGAAAGACTTTCAATTGTTCTCTGAACAATTGGTTTTTTAAATAATATTCCACATATTCCTGGCGCCATGAATGCAAATAAAATATGTTGTTATGGTTATTATTGTATCATATTATGTGAACATTCACGCTAGTTAGTCACGATTGGGTATTGTTAAGGACATATGCTTGGACATAGACAATGTAACTTCATGTTTGTCATAGATCATAGTTTAAAATAGTCCATTTGTTTCGATTTGAAGACCAAATCAAGATATGAATCCGCAATTTTTCTTTTGGTAGTATCATTGATATTAAATCATCGGTATTATTACAAGCACTTGCTGAGATATTGGTTATTGAGTGACAAGACATCAATATAGCAGAGCGTGAAACTAAAGAATATGTTAAGACGCTGCTCTTTTTTCTTTTTATCTTTTCTTCTTTCTTTGAGAAGGTTTTGTACGGATTCGGCTTCATATGAATACAAAATAAGCCGGTCAGTAGGAATGAAAAAAATCCGAGCCCAATGAAATATTGACTGTTTGTTAAAACACTAATCAAACAATATTGACAAATATGTTGTCGATGAAAACCTCCAGCGTCCTTCAAAAATTGGTGTATATAGATATGAGAAGATTTGGTATGAGTGCCAATGAGACAACTCTCCATCCAAGTCACAATTTGTAAAAGTAAACCATTATAGGTCATAGTACGTCCTTCAACACGGAGCCTTGGCTCACACCGAACGGCAAGCTATAAAGGGCCCCAAAAATGACTAGTGTAAAACCATTCAAACAGGAAAACCAACGGTCTAATCTATATAAAAAACGAGAAACGAGAAACACTTATGAACCACATCAACAAACGACAACCACTGAACATCAGGTTCCTGACTTAGGACAGGTGCAAACAAATGCATTTTGTTCAAACAAGTATGATTCAATTAATTTGTATCCACGATCCCATTTTTGTAGTTAAAGAAAAAACACAGTTTAAAAATATAGTAATATAGTAAAAATATTGTCGATCTTTCAATTGAGCATGATGAATAGAATTAAACAATAAGAAACGCCATATCTGTCTAATGTGGTACTCTAACATTATGTGATGTGATTTTATGATTACTTGATGATATTTTGTCTTTACATAATATGGTTTTGACACTACTTAATGATATTTTAATATTGCATGATTTGGGGTCGTAATGACTTGATATGATTTTGTCACTACTTTATATGATTTCAACATTAACTTATGTGGTTGTGTCATTAAGCAATGTGGTTTTTACATTACTTGATGTGTATCTGAGTTAACGTAATGTAGTTATTTCATTACATGATGTGGACATGTTATTTCGTAATGACGATGTGTCAATTCTTTATATGGCTTTAACATTACATAATGATGTTCCAAAACTTGACGATTTTATACTACATAATGTGTTTTTTTTTTATGCAGTTTGTCATTTTTGATGTGGCTATCACATAATTTACTTGATGAGGTAAAACCACGTGACCATTTTGGAAAAAAAAAATGCTTTTAAACAAATTTCCATGTGACCCAGGAACACATCATTTCTTTTAGACAATAAATGCAAATTAAAAAAATCACTCCTGCAATAAGATTTTCACAGTGAAGTGTCCTACTATTGGAACAAAATTTATCAAAATAATAGAAAAGTCTATCAGCTGTAACTGAAAATATGGACAATTTTATGTTAAGGGGGTCTGTAATTCAGTTTGACAGCTTCAGACATACTAATTTTTGACCTTTTTCAACTGGATCAAATCACTACCTTATTTGAAAATTCATGACCCTAACCTTTGTTCATATTATCTCATCTACCTACTTACTATATTGTATATAAAATATAAAGAAATAGATTTGGAAGGTGATTGAAAAAAATGCTATATTGTTATACACTGTACACACTATGAAGTATTTGGAGACAACGAAAACAACGGAAATCAAAGGACGAAAACTGTCTCCAAAGACCATATCATTTGTTTTATGTGCCTCGAATAAGTGTAGCTAAGTTCGAATTAAAGTTCGAGTTACTCTTCGAGTTATGCATAAAGTTCAAGTTAGTGTACTTCTAGAATTCAAGCAACAATGGAAGTCAAAGTTCGGGTTAGTGTTGAGTTTCGAGTAACAATTCGAGATAAACTTCGAGTACGAGTCACATTTCAACAGGTAGAGTTCGAGTTAAAATTCGAGTTAAGAGTTCGAGTTATTTGATATGAGTTCGTATTTAAAATTTCTATCTCGGATCCAGAGCTTTCGCTCTGGCTTTTGAAAAGAGGGATATGGGCATGCATACATTATTGGGGACCGGCAGTCATAAATGACGAAAAAAAAAAGAACACAAAAACACAATTTTTTTAACGTAAAGGGAATGTCACCCGCCTAATGATTCCATCCGTTATTTATTCAATATGTATTTGCATACAAATATTTAGATAAAATTCTTCCAGTGTTTCAAAAGAAAGGCGAAAGACACCACAGGGATATTCAAGCTCATAAGTCGAAAACAAACTGGCAATACCACAGCAAGAAACGAAAAACGACCAAAAGACAAACAACAGTATATAAAACACAACATAGAAATCTTAAGACTGAGCAACAGGAACCCCACCAAACATCGGGATGATATCTGGTGCTCCGGAGGGGTAAGCAGATCCTGCTCCACATGTGGCGCCCGTCTTGTTGTTCGTGTAAGTATAAACCCGTTGATAAGTCTTATTCGGTAGATCACATTCAAGGAAAAAGAGCGGATTGTGGTTACGACATATCCGTCGTCATCTGTGTAACAAATATTCCAAATAGTTACTTTTTCCAAATAGTGCGAGGTATATCAGAGAATGCAATTTATCAAAATAAAAGATTGATATTCGTATATATTCAATTGATTATTTTGATTATTGTTGCTTTGACTCGAAACTCAACTTTTACTCGAGCTTTAACTCTTTAATTATAGCTTGAATTCTAACAAGAACGAAGCATAACTCGAAATTAAACTAGAACTTTAATTTGAACTATCAACTCGATGAATAGCCACACTCATCCGAGGAACATACAACAAATGACATAAAAAATCGGTTTGAAAATAGAAATTTTCTTTCCACAATGGTTACGTGAACAAATTTTGAAACATCATTATGTAATGTTAAAGCCATATAAAGAATTGACAAATCATAATTACGAAATAACATAACCACATCATATAATGAAACAACTACATTACGTTAACCCACATACACATCCAGTAATGTTAAAACCACATTGCTTAATGACACAACCACATTGCATAATGTTGAAATCATATTAAGTAGTGACAAAACCATATCAAGTCAGTACTATCCCAAATCATGTAATATCAAAATATCATTAAGTAATGACTATACCATATTGAGTGATATCAAAACATCATTAAGTAATGTCAAAACCATATTACGTAAAGACAAAATATCATCAAGTTATGATGAAACCGCATAACACACGGTCAAAGTATCACATCAGACAGCTGTGGCGTCCCATAGAACAGTATCGAAAAGCGCTTTCATATCGTTGTAAAATTTGAATGATTTGATTGAAGATGGTTGGGTCGATTATTTTTGCGTTTGGCCATGGCAGTAAGTTCTACTGTCATCAGACGACATAAATGTCAAAATTTAATACATGTTCATAGGAAGGGGAACATAAACAGAATTGATTACTTTCATTCCTTATTAATTGTCTGAACCAAGCTAAAGTGCATTTTAATGTAAGTACGAAACAGTAGCAATGATCATCAGGCAAACGTTTAAGAATTATGCATACATACCAACATCAGACACCATACATCATGAGGACAAATACATGTTTATAGGGATTTAATAAATGTATATTAGTATATATGTATCTTTGAATGTAGTTTAAGCCTAAAATATTAATAATATGTTACACATTCTCGTCAATTGCTTACTTCAAATAATATAGAAATAAAATTCTGACAGTCCAACAACTACTGGTTGTAGAATTTTTAAACAGTTGAAGAGAAAGTTTTTCCATGCAATCATGTAAGAATTTGTTAAAAAATAGTCCTAGAACTAGATATACAAGGATGCATTGGCTGTGGAATGCATAATTGTTAGAAGAAGAACTATAACTAAACAAAGTAAAGCTGTCTAGTTAATGCCCTTTTCGAGATGTATCTAAACGAAAAGGAGAAAGTACATGATATACCAGCTTTACCTTTCTGTTGTAAATACTCTGTTTGGTCCACAACCGTAAATATAATGACAACTGAAACATATTGTAACTAATTAACGAAAGGGAAAATGCCAATTAAAAATATATATACTTTCTGTTCTATAACATAAATATTTAAAATGTGTGAAATATAAGTATGAATGGTTTTACTCTCAATCGAGACGCCGAAGAAGTGGCGAAATGAAATGTTTTCATAAGAAACACTTCCTAGATGCAGCCATTATTTTTTTCAGTATTAAGATGCAATAAATCAGCACTTCTGTGTTGACATGAATTATCATTAATATTGTCATATTTATAAATTATCTGGTTACAAATCTTGTTCGAAATACTAAGAATTCTCTACCCCAAAAGTAGATTACCGTAGGTGTATTTGAAAAAAAAACCTTTCGAAATTTTTGGCTCTAAATACACTTCAACTTTATTTGGCCTTTTAATTTTTCAGATTCGAACATCACTGATTAATCTTTAGTAGACGAAACGCGCGTCTGGCGCACATTATTATAAGCCTGGTATCTTTGATATGTTTTCAAATGCCCGAAATATTCAGAATGCATACTTATAGATTTAATTAACTGATTACCCAAATTTCTTCTACTTGATAGCCTCATATTGCATTTCGATAATCTTTTTTCCCCACTGAAACCATATTGTCATTGAGTTTTCTCTATTGTTGAGCCACTTTTAAATACTCACCAATGATACCAAGTTTACAATATGTCGGTCATTAAAAAAAATATTATCGGTTCGAATTTTTGTAAGTTTGATATGTACATTTTTCAAAATGTCATACTTTTAGATTAAAGTATACAACATGCGTAAGATATAACACACCAATATAATACTATAATTGTTTATATCAGTATCTTTTTTTTTATCATTGAAAATTGAGATATTTATCGAAAATTGCATGTGTTTCATTTTTCTTAGATGTTTTTTTCTACATATAAAATTGTTTTTCTAGAATTTTTTTTTTTATTAAGTAATATCAAAATTTTTAAATGAATTACTTTGTATAGTGAAAATCACGAACATATATATTCTCCAATATTAAAAAAGAAAGGCAAAAGATACAAAAGGGATATTCAAACTCATAGTCGAAAATCAAGTGACAATGCCATGGCAAAAAACGAAAAAACGACCAAAAGACTAACAACAGTACACAAAACACAACATAGAAAACAATGAGGAAGGTTAAGCAGATCATGCTCCTCGTGTGGCACCCATCGTATTGCTCATGTAATTAAAATTGATGTTCAAATATAAATGTTCATCCTGTTACTTTAAAAGTAACATAAAAAAAAACATGTTCTCCGTTCCTAAAACTCTCTTGAGATGACGCGTACAATCAGGAAAGAATCTAAGGGCATAATTGTCAAGATAGAATCATCTTGGCAAGCAAAATCAATCGGTAAGTATTGTATTCATATCTGTTTACAATGTCTTTGATGTAACCGACATGCCGATGATTGTAAGCTGAATTTGATTCATAAAATGTTTGACAACGTAGCTAGACATTGACCGAAAGAATTTAAACTCAACGTACGTTGTTATGGGGTTAATATTTAAAAAAAGATTCGGATTAAGTTCACAGTTGACTATTCTGTTACTGTCCATCCTGTTACCAAATAGAACGGTGACAGGGTGGATGAATCTACAAGAATAATAAAAAAGGTTGCTGAAACACAAAATGTAAAACTTTACATCATAAGATATTTATAACTGGACGGTATATTAAGGATGTATTCCTCTGAATTTTTAGTCTCGTTGAAATCTCGTTCGGGAATTATTTCCAAAACATGTGATACAAGTGGAAAATATCAATGAATTTAAAAAATATTATAATCAAACTAAACTCTGTGAAAAAATGTGTACTTAAAATAAGTAGCTTTTGAGTAATAAAATTTTCAAATTTTATAACCAATCCGGTCAGTCTCATTAGCCAAAATTTTGAGAAAATGAGTGAGGGGTACAAAGAAATTATTTTACCACAAAATTCTTAGATATGTATTTTTTCAATCATTTATAACAAAGAAGTTGAAATAATATGCTTTTTGTTCTAAAAAAAGATGAAAACCCCAAATTTACAAAATTGACAGCATGGTCAATTTGACCCAAAAAAGCAACAAAATTTTATAAAACTTTCTTATATTAACACCAACCTATAGTTTTTTTTAGTTAAATTTATTCAGATTGGTCCACTTTATCTTTAGTGAAAGTATGAAAAAAAGTTTAATTGTGAAACTGATTTTTTTCATAATTATAGCCCAAAAATGGGTAAAATTGATGAAAAATGGGAAAATCTTTACAAATGGGATACTTTCAAATGGCCGTAGCAAAAAAAAAGAAGTGCACCACCATATGATTTTTTCTTCATTAATTACTTTCTTACAGTCATATAAACCCAAAAATCAGGTTAATAAAAAAAAAAGTTTAATTCTAGAAAGTTTTGGCTCCTCAGAGGTGTACATCCTTAATCAACAAACAAAGTTCGTATTGCAAAATTATTTTGATATTAAAGTTTTACCTTGATTGATAACAGGGTTGACAAAAATGGTAAACGATAGATTTATATATAAATTGATTAAAAAAAAACAATAGTTAATTATTGGTAATTTTTTGAAAAATAAATGTAATGATTATTCCAGACGCAGAGACTATCTACATATTGTTTTTGTTAATGCATATTGAATTTTTTTGCTAAAGGGATTTAAAATAAACATCTAAATACCAATATCAGCGATCCCTTATATATATGCATTCTATTTTCTTATCACTCAGATGATTTTATAACAAAAAAGTAACATGATAGATAAAATTTAACAACAGCAGCCACAACACATAATCTGAAATCACTCTAAGGCTTCGTTAAGATTCGATATATGAAAATTGTGTGCACGAGTCAGTCAATTTTTTTGGGCAAATAATAATCTATTTGTCAATTTCAGCATTAAGTGTTACTCTTGTCTTGTCCGTCCGTAGGTCCGTCCCAAAATTGGTTTTCGTTCTCTACAACAAAATACAGATCAAGTTCGAATTTGGGTGGCGTCACTTTTACCGTTCTCGAGTTATGCCACTTCATAACGTTAAATGCAAGCGGGGGCATCATCTGTGTCCCATGGACACATTCTCCATTTATTTCATTATAATTGGCTAAAACGATAATATAGCACCTAAATTATGATCTTTCATGGGAAGCAGTCCATTTTGTTCGGTATAGAACCAGATTAAAAGTGGCCCCATGAAACAACTTGTGTTTTAAGTGTGTAGTAAGATATGCAAAATTTTAATTGGCAAATAAACTATTAAAATCGATTTTAAAATAACTTCTTTTATTGCACAGCTCAGTATCATGAATGTACCATTTTTAAATGACCGATGTATAGGGCTTTCAATTGTTTTTTTTGCAACGACAAGTTGGTAACCCAAAGTATTGATGGTATCCTTTAGTTGTCTGTGAAGTGACTTGTTGACTGGTTTATCATAAACGTTTTTAAATTGGTGCAAACTAATTTCTTCGACTTATGGTTTTTAAACGCCCGGCCGTGGTATCTTCTCTCCTTTATTTGACTATCTTAATATGTTCCGCTGTAAATCGTTGATTGATATATTAACTTATGTTTATGTACGGAGTTATAAACAAACCTTTTGCATTCACATAAGCTTACACATCGTCTTCCATAAAAAGGAGCGATACATTTAAATCTACAGTTTTCACCGAAGGAGCCATCTGGACATTCTACAAAAATGTAAATGAAGAAAAATTAAACCTATCAATGTGCATGCCAGGATGATATCAGATGAATCGTTGTTGTTAATAGACAATTCTACTAGAGTTAAATTATAAATAATTACATAGCAGTTAATACTTGTAATTTATATATAAGCGGAAATGAAAAAGAAATTATTTATTTTTGCTAACATCAAATGTTTCGACTAGCAACAGAGAATTAAAAGTTGAAGACGTTTTATACTGACATATATAAGGTCATTTAATGCCATTCAACGATGCACTACTGTTTAATGTGTCACATAGAAATGTATTTCTTATATTTCATACCATATATATATATCATTTAATCATTTGTTAATCCTTAATCAGAATTTGACATTTTACAAACTCAGTTATCGACTCCGATTCTAGGGTTCGGCAAACTTTAAAAATTTAAAGGCACATTAATCTGTCACTGCACTGTAGAATTAACTGATGGTTTATACTAATCCTGAATATGCCTATGTGTATGATATTTGTACGAAAGCCGAGAAGGATCATTCAAAATTCAAAATTCAAAATTCAAAATTCAAAATTCAAAACTCAAAAACTCTACATTAATCTATAATGTTTCCACGCGCTTACGAAAGCCAACAAAGATCACACTTTAATATAATACTAAAAGCTATTTTATAAAGTTTGTTAATAGCACGAATCAATTTAAACAAGGCAAAGGGTCCGTAAAACCTTCATAAGGATGCATCCAGCTTTACCTGTGGTATCGTTATTTCAGATTAATTATTATAGATTTAAATAACCTAAGTCGACGAGCGCTGAGTTATTCATCTATGTAGCGAATCAGAAGTAAAGTTTAGATAAATTCCAGTTATTATAATTTTGATTGAGAAGCTCTTGTTTAAAGTCTGTCTCATAATGAATTGTAGGTACGTCTCTTATTTTTTTTTCTTTTTGACGGGTGTATAGACATATGGTCATCCCTTGGTCTTCCTCCGATCGGCAGTAAAATGCTTTTTAAATCAAGTCCTTTTTGCTGTGCGGGACGCATAAATTCGCAGTCACGACCGGTCATATTGGGAACGTTTAATCCGATGATTCGTGTAGAGAGAATAACCACGATCTCTGCGGGGTAATAACCTTGCAACAACTTAAGAGGGGTCTTGTTGAAAGGCCAAATTTCTGTCCTACCCGATATATCCTTATTTCCAGCGGCATTCCAAATTTTTCGCCCTTCATCCCGGTCGACCGCCAATTTCAGGACCTACCTTTTGTATTAATTATTTTTCTCTCGTCATAAATATGCATGAAATATTTTCCACTGGAAGTTAAGCAAACAACAACCAACCTCTTATTATAACCCGGTTTTCCAAAGGAAGAATCTAGTTATCAAAATAGGTATGTATATATACAATAGACAGATTTTATGTATCCTTTATCAAATTTTGATAATTTTATGTTGTTATATCAACAAAATTCGAGTCAAGTTTTTGACGATTTTCATTTATGTTGTTTAGGAGTCACGGTCTATGATTGAACGAAAGATGACACTTATGTCATTAACTTATGTAATTCAATTTATACATTCAGAAAAGATATATATACATTATTTGTCATGTTGTATATGTCATGTATGTTGTACACTTGGATTACGCAATGTCATATTAATCATATGTGCTTTATTACGGAGACATATATGTCTCTGCTTTATCTAATAAAATATTTGAAATTGAATATAAATATATAATTATATAAAATCGAATGAAGTCTTGGGATCGCCCAGAATCGATGAATATTATATAATTATATAAAAGTCCAAACAAAGCACAAAATTCATTTATAACAGTTTCATTAAACTGTCAGAAGTACAAACTTTTCTAAAAAAAAAATAGATGCAAACAATAAACACTGTAAATATACACATTCTACAGTTGAACTCGACAAGCCAAGATACTCGGTTATTGCCCTAAATTTATTTGAGAATGCAGATCAGTAGCTCATAAATAATTAGTCACCAATAAGATGGCAAGTGAGGTGCATCGATATGATATACTAGAATTGTTATCCTAAATATATGACATATACATGTATAAGAAAAAATGCACATAAAGCAGCAATATGATAATAGATTGTAATAAAGTTTGTATTTCTCCCTTAGCTTCTGGACACTCGCATCAACAAACACTTAAGGGGCGAACAAAAGGGCCACCACACAATTAAATTTCAAATAAACATGAAAACACCTACATTTCAATAACCAAGTGCGTTTCAAAATACTTTATTATGTATTTTATTTGCAATAGTTTACTTATATAAGATATAAAGGTAATGTTGAACATACGAAAGCTGAAAACCGTTCTCCTGTTTTTAAACAGTCACCCAGATTACCGCAACCATTACTGATGACGCAAATCTTATCGTTAACATGTTAAAGGTGAATGTCGTTATAATCTGTTTCATGCATACAGCTGATAAAATGAAAACTATGTCAAATGTTAAAAATTACCAGAACAGCTTCTGATATATTAGTAAGACAAATGTATTTCAGAATTTTTTCATGAAAAAATAATGTTTTGAAGTTGTAAAAATAATTAATTGTAAGACAATGTAATTCCCTTCTTTGAGGTTATATATCATAATTTCTGAATTCTACAGGATTTACAGGCGCTTAGAGGATTGGACCCTTCTTTTAAAATTCATTTTTGGAATTTATTTAAAATTGGAATACAGCGGCATCGGTCATACAATACTCTTATTGTTAAATCAAACGCTCGAGATCAAACGATGATAGCAAGATTACGTTGAAAATTGGGGGAAAAAAGTACTGAAGAAATTGAGAAATTTTACTGAAATTTAATAAGAAATAAAAAAAAAAATAAAAAAGGGGGCATTCCCCAAGCAAATGTGACTCCAATATGATAGGCTTGGGTCGCTAATAGTCTTTGTACCCTAATTTCTATGTAAAGTTTTTCTACTCGCGTGTACGTAGGAGCCAGGGGCAAAAAGGGGAGGGGGCAAAACGATACCTCCTCCCATTTTAAGCCAAAAATTGAAACCAAAAACTTACGGTATTTATATATCACAACTCGTTCGCTATGCCCGTGTCTGTTGTGACTTTTTGGATTTCAATTAACGTAATCCATGTACTACTGGTAAATTTTAAGTCAGGGATTTCGTTACCACAAATTACTAGTACTTAAATATAAAAATTAACAACTATAGGTCACCGTACGGCCTTCAACAATGAGAAAGCCCATACCGCATAGTCAGCTATAAAAGGCCCCAACATGACAAATGTAAAACAATTCAAACGAGAAAACTAACGGCCTGATTTATGTAAAAAATAATGAACGAAAACAAAATATGATATACAGCAACAAACGACATCCACTGAATTACATTTTTGTTTATGTGCTTTGTCTATATGCCTTTTTGTGTTTATTTGCTTCATATTTGTTTGTTTTCATAGTGATTAAGATTATAACACAATGTTGACTGTTGTACCCCTATTTTGACATTTTTACCTATTATGTCTGTTTGTTTTGTTCACACATCATTGTCAATATAATGGAATTTTATGCGACTGTCATACAAGTGAGAGGTTTAGCTAGCTATAAAACCAGGTTTAATCCACCATTTTCTACATTAGAAAATGCCTGTACCAAGTCAGGAATATGACAGTTGTTATCCATTCGTTTGATGTGTTTGAGCTTTTGATTTTGCCATTTGATTAGTGACTTTCCGTTTTGAATTTTCCTCGGAGTTCGGTATTTTTGTGATTTTACTTTTTACAGGCTCCTGCCTTGGGACAGGCACATACAAAATATGGCCGGGTTAAACATGTTAGAGGGCGCCTAACCCTACCCCTAACCTGGGACAGTGGTGTAACAATACAACATATGAACAAACTATAAAAATCAGTTGAAAAGGGCTTAACTCATCAGATCGGTACAAAGCACAAAAACAAGTAACAAAAACACAGAGTGGACGTGGCAAGGTACTTGTACATCCCCACAACAAAAAGACACTAAGTGCAGATCTGAGAATACTCGCAGTTCAAAGCCAATAACAACTAATTAAAAAATCATGCATCTAAGACTAAAATATCAATCAGTACACATCTAACATCCAATGGATTTAGTGTAAAGACGTCATGAACAGTCAAAGAAAATATGCTCTTGAGCAAAACCAAGATACAGGTATCGACAGATTGTAGAGCCATGAATATGCATATGTATATAAAAATAATATTTAGTTTGATTTTAATTTACTGAAAACAATACCAATATTAATACCAATAACAACAATATTAAAAGATCTAATTACAGTGTTGAATTGGTAAAACCTTTACTAAATTTTTCCATAGATATAAACATTTGGTTTGGAAGTTTGGTTTTACCTGTAGAAAACTTATTTTTAACGGGATAGCACATCCTAATTATTACGATGATGTTGTTTACAAGGCCCGGAAATTTAGATACGATAAACGGGTAAACTTATCGATCCTTTAAATAAACTTATTTTAAAAGGTTACCAATTCAACATTCTTTGAATATTGTTTTTATTGGCATTAATATTGATTTTGTTATCAGTAAATTAGAATCAAACTAAATATTTTTTTTCTGCTTTGTATCGATCTGTTGAGTTTAGATCTTTTCAACTGATTTTTATTATTATAGTTTGTTCTTATGTCGTACTGTTACACCACTTTCCCAGGTAAGGTGGAGGGTTGGCGCTCCGTCAAACTAGTTTAACCCCACCACATCCTGTATCTGCCTGTCCCAAGTCAGGAGCCTGTAATTAAGTGGTTGTCGTTTGTTGCTGTATATCATATTTGGTTTTCGTTCATTATTTTGTACATAAATCGTTTGAATTGTTTTACATTTTTCACCTTAGTCTCTTGTGGAGAGTTGTCTCATTGGTAATCATACCACATCTTCTTATTTTTATATTCTGAATCATTCTCAAGTTATGAACTGAAGAAAAACATAAAACATTCGAATAAGGATTGAAGTGACACACGATATCCCCCTCTCCATGAGTATAAGTGATAACAAGAAATGTTTCATTGTCTGACATAATGTCGGCACATATCCTTTCAAAAGTTTGATTGTTTGTCTGTGTACAATTATATTATTAATCTACGGTATATCTAAGATCAAGTGATAAGATTATGATAATATTTGTTGTGTTTGGATTTCAACTGCAATAAAACAGGATTATCTTTTTTGATTTGAGAGTTCTGAATTTTGAATTTTGAATTTTGAATTTTGAATTTTGAATTTTGAATTCTGAATTATGAATGATCCTTCTCGGCTTTCGTATATTTGCAACTTGCTATTAAGAAACCAGCAATCAATCAATATACCTGTTTACAACACTTCAAGACACAAAATTATGTTCCGACTTAATGTATTATTAAAAGTAACACAACAGTACAGATAAACTGGAGTTTATTTATTCTTTATATTTAACATTACGGTTTATTATTTTAACAGATGAAGAGTTCTACGTGTTTATACTTCCCTTGCTTTCAGATTTTTTGGTTTAAACGTTCTTGGTGGGGTTAACCCCAAAAGAAAGCGCTTCGGACTTTCGAAATTTATAAAGTCTTATTTTCATGTCCTTTTCCTTTACCAGCACAAAAGGCCACACATTTGTATTATATTTATCTTCTGCACTATTTTTACCATGCACTTTGTCTAAATCATACAAGAAACCATTTTTAATGTTAGTTAAATTGTTGAAGACTGGGTGTCTTCCTTTCTGAGTGCCCTTGAGTAGCTGTCACACTGACGTATACCCCGACATGTGATTTTATTTATCTATGCTCTCAAATTCAATATTTCATACTATGATGTATTTCTTTGCAATAATTGAATGATAAAGCGTTTTAATTATTTAGAAAAAAAAAATAGTCGTTCTATTGCCAACATATTTTTAAACACATTGTAAATCTACCAAAGGTAAAAAAAAAATATATATAACAATAAACAAGCAAAGAAAAGAACTTAAATGTGAACAAAATTTGTCAACAGAATTAAAAAAAAACAAAATTAGATTGAGAACAGTACACGAACGTTCTTTCCACACTACCAAAAAAGTTAAAAACTGTAATGGCTGCGATTCATAATTCTCGATGTATGATGTAAATCACCAACAACAAATCACATATTTGCAGATGGTTGAATGTATCCATATCTTTAATTTGGACGGCTTTATAATTACAATTGATTGAGTATTTACAACAATTCTTTGAGATTAAACAATGTTGATATTCAATTCTAACGAAATGTCAAATATAAGATAAGCATTATCACCTTTTAAAAATCTTCTTTGTCTTATTTTAAAATTGTTTTTAAAACAAAAAAGCCCCTGCTCACTGAATTGAGGAGAATGAGAATGGTATATTCTGCACCTGAGTAATTTGTCAGTCAAATGAGTATCCTGTACACAGGATATACTATGGTTTGTCAATAAAATGGGTATCCTGTAAACAGCATATACTATATTCTTCAAGTTTAAGGTAATCGAAAACAAAATATCCTCTCTTTCCGTTTGTTTAGGTCGTTTCGATTTCAGTCGTTTCACCTCATAACTCTGTTGGAGAATTTTTTTGCGTAATGAGCACATCCCTGTTAATGAAGTCAGTAATTAGTAATGAAAAAATAAAGATTCAATTGTTTTTTGTTTGACATATACCCGCCATTGCAAATCTAGAACTTTAAATGCTGAATCTATATCTGGCAATGCACTCTACAACTTGTATCTTAATCTACTTATGTTATTCAGAACTTGGAATATGATACATTCGTCTTGCAAAGCAAATGTAGAACTTGATATACTACATTGTTGTCTGTCAAGGCATTCTAATACTTGAAATACTATACTTTCTTACCTGAACAAGTACCATCTGAACTTTTGTAGAAGTCATTGCAACATTTTTCGGAAATCACATCTTTACCATTTACTTTTCTTCAATAGATATAATTATTAGTAAGGTAAGTTTTGTTGATACCATTTGCTAACTTCACGAATAAAATTGAGAACCGCAACGACGGCAAATACCAAAACTTATATTATGGGTGGTTGCAAAATACATCGATAAAACACTCTCCATTTATTGTTTTCCGTTTATGTTTAATTATAAAAGTAATTTTGTTCATTTTATGCTTAAGTCTACTTTCTTATTCAGTAAAATGAGCAGGTGCTAAGGTGTAAATTTGGGGAAATGTATCGCAACTTCATTGTTTACCTCCTTAAAACACTAAAAATTGGTTTTACCGTAAGGCATGATTACAGAAACTCAAATTTACAGATGAACACTTTTTTAGCAAGTCGTCTTTCCCTTCCCAATTACATCATATTCCTTTCAATATACTTTTTTTCTGTTCAATATCTCCTTAGCTCTGTCTTTTATCTTAATTTAATTATATTGATTGTTTTTTATTTTGTTTGTTTTGAGTTTTTTTTTCAATTTGGTAGTTTTATCACTTAAACCTGGTTGTTTTACCTTCTGTTTTTTTAATTTATTTTATCACTTTAATTAATCATCTTTTTAAAGAACGTTTATCTTGCAGATTATAAATAACTGTTTCATGTCGAGTCGTTCGGCATCAAAGGATTAAACAAACATTCAAATTTTGAGAACTAGGAAAAATAATAGATAATTCAAAGGAAAATGTGTTTAAAAAAAAGAAATGAAAGACAAAAAGCGACAATATATGACGTTCGACATTTAAAAAAACCCCAACACATTTGGCTTGAATTTATCAGAAATATCACATCTGTAGAAAATCATTCCGTCCTAAACTATAGCATTGGTGGCTGTATTCCACAGTAGACTTCCTACAGCAGCGTCACAAACACTATAGACGGACACAATATTGCACAATACCCATGCAGGAAAATAATCCATTTGATATTTTCAATTGTATCAATTTTACTGCACCAGATGTGCATTACGAAATTAGTGACTCTTCAGTGATGCCAGATGCAAATACATTTGAAAATCCAAAACTTATACAAACGTAAAAAAGCTGATAAAACCAAAACGGACCAAAGTACAGCAAAACCAAGAAAATAAGATATTTGCTTGAGGGATCAAATTTTGATTAAACAATATTCGTATTTTCATGCCAGTGTCAAAGTACTGTCTGATGATACCATCGGGGACTTATATTCCACTATCAGAGGTATCGAACTAAGTCGTGATACACAAACGCTGGTTTGATTTTGATTCATATATTATTTTGAAAACACTAATGGTGGTCAGTTGATCTCAAATTTCAATATAGAGCAGCAAGAACCTTCAGAAATTTTTCACTACCTATTGCATCCTTATTGACAATTCGGCACGCAAAATAGCCTTAATTAGTTACTTTATACATGACTAAAATTGTCTATACGATTATTTATACTCAAGAAAATTTAGCCATTTAATATATGAATTTTCGAGAAATCTTAAAGATAATTTATCAATTACCACAGCTTTATTTATAATTGATATTTATACTTTATAAGACAACTATTTCTTCTTCCTTTATATTATCTTTTAAAATATTCTATGGCTTTACACAAATTAGAAGTATTGTCTGAAAGTAACCAAGGCCCAAGTTTGAAAGGTTTTTAAAACACTATAACATTCTACAAATATACTTCGTGAAACGGCATATTAGGATTTTTAAAAATTGAAGACAATAAACAAATCTATATTTTATAGATAAAAAAATTATTTCTTGAAAACGGAGTTTGGCAGCAATTTTAGTTGGATGTCAGTGTGACTTACTTATCTTTTTTTAGTGATTAAGAAAATATTATGCCTTAGTTTAACTTGAACAACACGCCAACGAAAAGTAATTTTACAAAGCAGAAATAAACTACATTGTAGCTGACTGTTAAAGTAGAAAGGGGTAATTTTATAACTCGAACACAACGAATTTGTAACTGCGGCTAATTTCTTTTGTATTTCACTTGAACAATGTTTTGTTTTCCCACAATGTAAACTGTTATTGATAAATTGAATGTTTGTTTATTGCTTACCTAACTGTTGGTGACAAATATTTCATGCATATTCAGGACGATGTCAAAATTTACCGGGACTATCGAATGAAATATTTTATCATACATATGGTTTTAATTGTTTCCAGATGGATCTAAAACTACGTATAAACATATTGTCGTAAAAAAGGCATATACATTAAAAAAAATAGTAATAGTTTAACCGTTTCTCTATGACAAGAATTGGCAAACTAAAGAGGGGAAAAGATTGAAAGGCATTCAGATCAAGAAAGTATCAATGATTAAAAACAGAGACATATAATATATTACATATCTCTGTTGAAAATGAAAAAATAAATCAAAATGCTGGTGTAGATGTCATCGAAAACTTGGCCAAAATAGAAAAATGGTACAAATAATAAGAAATTTTTACATCTGTCTTTTTCATTCTGTTTTAAAATCACCGTACATTTAATTCGTTAGTAGATAGTAAACAGTTGTTACTTTAATTTTTTTAAATTGTTTTCTTCATTTTCTTCATTTTCTTTTCCCGGCCAATAAATTAGATCTTAAAGCAAAAATTATAGGTTACTGCAATTAACAGTAAATGATCAGTTATTAATTTATATGTACCAATTACAAATATATTTATAAATATTAATTTGTCGATACTATTGAGGTTAACGAAACAGACTAGACTAATTGATAAAAGACCAGCAGAACATTTCACCAAAAAATAAACCATAACGAGACAGTTGAATGTCAGTTATAGTTAAATGTCAGTGTTGTTGGTAAAAGTTATTTTGTAACTAAATGTTAGGTCGTGTTGCTCAGTCTTTAGTTTTCTGTGTTGTGCTTTGTGTACTGCTGATTGTCTGTTTGTCTGTTGTTCTTTTTCTTTTTTAGCCTTGGCGTTGTCAGTTCATTTTCGACTTATGAGTTTGAATGTCCCTTTGGTATCTTTCGCCTCTCTTTAACAGTTTGCTATAACTTCATGTAATTTGTAAAGTTAAAATGCAAACATAATTTATCATAATTATTTAATTAAATCAAACATTCAGTATACATCACTAGCATTGTGGTTAGGATACTGTGATTGATACGTAAAAGGAACCAATACCCACCTGATTTACTCACTGGATTGCGATAGTAAGCAGACTTACATGAGGTATCATCATAAAATATAATAATTCAGCCAGTATGTGTCAAATGCCAGTAAGTATCGGAAATCGCCAGAACACCAGAAGAACGAACAATTTTAACTAAATTGGCTAGCATATCACATATGTAGTCCTTGTTGTTGAACGATGTAAGAACTTCACCTGTATATTCACTTTAAGTTCTATTAACGAGATCAGAATAAAAGTAGGAAGTGAAATACCATCTTTAAGTTGTATTATTTTTACGAGAATCATTATATTTACAGGTAAAAAGCTGATGACAACTGATAGATTTTTTGAAAGTATTCAAATGTCTGTCGTATCTGTAAACCCGTAAAAGTGACATTAGTGTTAAATCATCTTTTCGCTCATTATAGTCAGCTCAATTAGAAAATATTGTTGTACTTAGGATAATCAACATGACCCGGTGTCACATGTGAAGTACCTATGCATATGTATAATGTTCATACACGAATTAAAACAGATTACCTCTTTTCGTAGCATACTCCGTCAGATGTCATGGTTATGTCGTGAATGAAAATTAAAAAAACACATCTTGCAAGTACAAACATGTCTAGCTACATTTCGATTCATTATAAACTAGAATTTGTATAAGGAAGTTGTTTCTACTTCATGACTGAATCATTCATTTTAAAACGGATGAAGTTACAATAGTTTTAAAGCGGAAATTCAAATGCTATGTAATGTTTCTATGTAACACAAATTCAAAATTAGATCCATAGTAATGCTATTGATATATCACCCTCTTATTTTATTTATTTGCCTTTTACAAACGTGAAATACATATTTGGCTTTCAAAACGTTTGGTCTCGAGCAGACCTGATGAACTTTATAACAGAACCATATGTCGAAATCACATAAGACACTGAACTAAATAAAAATTACCTAGCTGGATTTGACAAAACCTTCCGGAATTTTGGGTCCTCAATACTCTGCAACTGCGTACATTATTTTGTCTTTTAACTTTTTTTATTCGAGCATCAATGATTTATTTTTTAGTCTTTTTTTGCGCAACGCGCGTCTGGCGTACAAAGTTATAAACCTTGTTTCTGTGACGTTTTTTATTTGCCTATTGCATTTATTGATTAATATAGAAATAAGGTTGCCAACGAGACAACTTTCCATCAGAGTTTCATGCTATAAAATTTACAATCAATCAGAACATAATTATGTAAATTGGTAATGTTGAAATCTACCTTTCATAATATGCCTAACTGAGCTTGTGACATTTATCTCAGATCATAATTACACATTTGTTGTGCATGTGACGCTTATATACTTCTATTCACCAAGAGAATTTATACTCAAGTTTATCTCAGCAGTTAGAAATCATTGTTATTTTGAATCAGTCACTATAATACAGTAAGCAGCATCTTGATGTTTTAAAATAAAACTATGACAATGACATTTACACTGTTTTAGCATCATCACACGTCAAACTTTAAAAAGATAGCTGATTTAACATTCGCGTCAGTTTGTCACGCCCTTATAAATTGGAGTCCTATCAACGACCATCATTAAAATTATTTCAAACATAAGTAACTGCATTTCTAACAAAAAAAGTTAGTTCTTAATATCAGTTCAATAAGATGTATTGAAGTCACGATTTCTTAGCATAAAAATTGTTCACCGACGAGTTGATAAACTTTTGTTCTAATTAAAATGATAAAAATTATGTCCCGTACGGTATCCAAAGCGTTTTAAAATACAATTGAAAGTTCAATATCTAACTAAAGATATATATAGATCGATTAAAACTTAGCCCCTCGTTCTCACGTTGCGATTGAATATATTTGTATTGCCCCTTATTAGATTTCCTGAGGTTAACAATACCAATACCTTAAATATCTTGCCATGACATAAACGAAAAGTGACGAAAATGTCAACTACGAACGCTGATTTGGAATCAGAAAATAAACGTTTTTAATGGCATGTCTAAATGCAGTGTAAAGCTTATTTATTAAGACGATTCTTATCCCGAATGATTTCTTTTTTGAAACTACAATACATTATTACATGGTACATTGTGGTGTAAAAATAATATGGTAATTGTTTCATGATATATGATATTGCGGTCTATATATTCAACCAAGTACAGTTGGTTTCTTGTGAAAATGTATTACCAATATTCACATCGATGCCACTGCTTCCATTCCCAAACTATCACATCTAAGCGTTTGGAATTGTTTTGATGTATTAATCAAAATTCTACCCTAAGGTTTTACTCTCCTTTTTATAATACTTTATTCCAAAAGCAAGTACAACTTATAGGATGTATACAATGTTTGACAAATTAATTATACAAACACCATATCACATACACAGATATATAATAATATTTTAAATACATTTTTTTTAAAGATTAATCCACTCTTATGCATAATACAATAATAAGTGTAACGCAGAGTGATCCTTGCATAAAATTTTTCAAAATTAGCAGCAATATTTTAAAGGGGCATTAGCTGTCAAATTCATGTTCACCGATTTGACTCAAATTCTCATATTTGATGTATATCAATGTAAAACATTTATTCAAATTATAAAAAGTCTAAAATAAACAATATACCGGGCATGGGCTCGATAATATGTAGCTTCGTTTCGTGTGTATTTTAGTCTAGACGCCATCTAATTAACTGTCGATGTGACCTTTGAAGACCTCCGATTGTCATATAAGCGATATAAACATAAATATAGATATAAATAGAAAGCATACTCGTGCATTTGGATTTTTCTAGGTCTGTTTAATTTCATATTATAGATTAGAAATATATGTTAACCATCGTTTTTACCTGTATAAGAATGATTTTTTGCGGATCGAATCAGTCAATCAAATGATTTACCTTTGTTTCACTTTAAATGTTGACATTCTTTTCCTTTAAATAATTGAACACGCACAATGCATGCGGTATCTATCTCTAGCTAAGGGGTTAAATTGAAGTTCACGTGAATACGGATTCAAAGAGGTCGAATTATTCACTTGCAAGTGAATAATTCATCATCAATGTTTCTTAGCTTATTTTGACAAAATTGAACCATACTGGCTGCTAAAAGCGATATATTATGTCACTATTTCACTTTCATTAATGATTGCTCAAAAAAAATCATATCTTATATTTTTTATATATCTCGAAGCTAGTGCTTCTTTAACCAGGTAGTTTCTCAGCTAATTTCAAGTATTTACCAAGATTGTTTAGTTTTGTAATATTTTGTACACAGATAACAACTGGGGTGTATCCAATCATATTGTTTGATATTTTTTCTCTAATGTCAACATATTTATAACATTCTAATAAGAAATTAAATTCGTCTTCAATGGATCTTGTATTTATAAGTACATAACCTGTCTTTCCTATCAATATTATAATATCGTCCTGTCTCTATTTTTAAATTATGTGCACAAATACGTTATTTACAAATGTATGGTTTAGAAATATAGTTAACTTGTTTATCTAAGAAAATTGTAAAGTATGTGTACAAAAATGTATTTATATATTTATATAATTGACATTTATTTGAGACTTCAAAGAAAGCATTAGTTTTGCATATAAAAGTATCAACCATTCTCTCTTTTAATTGTCTAAAATCCACAGTATCTACCTTTTGACTTAACCCATGCACAGCAGCTAAAGTCATATTTACCCAAAATATCTTTAATGTTACCACTGGGTCGACATTTACCCAAAAGATTTGGCCATATTTACCCAAAATATCCCCCATATTTACCCAAAATATCTTTAAATTCTACCACTGAGTCGATGCCTCTCCTGGTGAACTGATAGTCACCGAGGGTATCACCAGCCCAGTAGCCAGTACTTCGGTACTGGTATGAAAATACGGATTTTGTGTTATTAAAATATGCTGTTACAAACTTTTTGAAATTATTTTAAATTAAGGAATATTTCTCCCTCATGCAAAGCTCTGATTTCTTGCCCGGCTTTGGCTATACTTTTTTGACCTTTTTGGTTTATAGCTCTTCATATTTTTAATAAGCTTTGGATTTTCAAATATTTTGGCCTCGAGCATTTCTGAAGAGACATTGATTGTCTAAATGCGCATCTGGTGCAGCAAAATTGGTACCGTTTATGTTATTACAGCACCAGTTCAACTTATTTTTATTACAGCTACTAAACATTTCATTATAACAATTTTTTAATATGCAATTATCAGTTCATAATAATTTAATCCATTATTTTACCATTCTTTACCTAATTTATAAAATACCATGTTATTAAAAGTACTCTTTTATACTTTCAGTATACGTTTAAAAAAATACATATGAACCCTTTCAATATCAGGTACCCCAAATTTCACAGCCATATTTCAAAGCATTTGCAACATAGGTTTCAATGTTATCACCCCCAGTTTTTTGTTGGGTTCGTGTTGCTCAATCTTTAGTTTTCTATGTTGTGTTTAGTATTCTGTTGTTTGTTTTTTCGTCGTTTTCCGTTTTTTTTTTACCATGGCATTTTCAATTTGTTTTCAACTTATGAGTTTGAATATCCCTTTGGTATCTTTCGCCTCTCTTTTTCAAATAAAATCAGTAATGATTCATGGTTATAATAATCATGCTGTATTTTATTAAACATACTATATACTGTTTTATTTTCTTGGTCTGACAACCTCTTTTGTGTATTTTGCTTACAAAATTACCATTGTAATAAAAAAAAAAGTAATTCTAAATACATAAACTCATTATAAATATCAATAGTATTACCATTTACAATATATTTTCTTCCGGTTTAGGCTTACCCCAATTTCTGAAAAATGACTTTTTTGTTTTAGGAAAATGAATATACAAAATGTATTAATTTGAGTAAGTATTATTGACAATTTCAATCATTTGCTGTAAATCTTGTATATTGTATCCCCAAAAAAAACCGAATAACGACGACGAAGACAAATAACAGTCTCTAAAACACATCAAAGAAAACTAGAGACAGAGCAAGGCGAACACCACCATAAACCGGGGGTGGTTCCGGGTGCCCCGGAAGGGTAAACAGACCCTGCTCTATGTGTGATACCCGTCTTGTTGCTCCTGTAGGTAAAAATTCGATATTAAGTCTCATTTTGAAAAAGAGGACTGAATTGTGATTTCGAATAATGCAACATATCTGTCGTTATAAGTGAAACAGATACTTGTATTCCATAATTTTCAACTTTATCACTTGTAATTCTTGGTTTAATAGGTAAGGTTCCCATTGTTCTAGCACGTATCCTATAAAACGAACAAACTAATTATACAGAAGATATGGTCAGGTTTAGGTTAAGTATAACTAACCTGTTAGTTTTATCCAACATTTTGAGGATTAGATTAAGCACCAAGACATAACAGGAACACACGTATTGCTGATGGATGATGGGATATATTTGACCCTCTTTCCAATAACTTTTTTTATTTGACCAAGTGCAGACTGTCAGCATAGGTAGGAAACTTTTCTTATAAATTTTTCTCCTCATTTAGAAGATAAACTATTCGTTGGAAACATATAGACCTTCAAATTTTCAATATATAAAGTCTCATGAAGTAAAGCTTTGACATTAAAAGGACTGTATATAAAA